TACTGTCTCATCAACATGTCAAGTATTTTTTCTGAGTGCAGCTTCTTCAGTACTTTATTTGTATGTGATGAGCAATCGGCAAATTTTAGCTGTATCTGGGAATTTCCAGCTGTGAATATCAGTTTGATTATTACAAACATAGCACACAGAGTTTGGGTATCACCCAGACACAGACCATTCACTTTATATCACATATCTGTGTGATATTTCTGCTGACCCGTGAAGATCCATATAGCTGGCATATTGCCAAGTGGGGCGTTAAACAACAAACAAACAAATCATGTGATATTCCTGCTGACTGTGGGCCAGTGGTTAAGTCAACACTGCATTATTCTGATATTTGTAAATGGGTACCGTGTAGAATGACATAGCAAGGTGACTGTTTACCTTCAAGTGCCACACAAACAGCTTTTGTTGTATTCTCCCCAAGGAGCTGAGAAGGAAATATAGAACTATTGACCAACATGAGAATTATAATAGAGTGATCATACTGATCATACTTTGAGTATGGAATTGCAGTATTGTTCTGCTTTACAGATTCAAATAAACTGCAGCAGAGAGAGGCACAGTCAGTTAGGTTATTGTTGTTCTGGGCACAGCCAGGCTAGAAAGGCTCATCAGCTGCTGACCGCCTCCGTGGTGTAGTGGCTAGAGCGTCTGCCCGGAGAGCGGAAGGTCGCGGGTTCGATCCCCGACCGCGTCATACCAAAAGACGTTAAAATATGGTACTTGTTGGTCCCTGCCTGGCGCTCGGCATTAATGGGTACAACAAGGACTGGTCGGCTCGAAGTCAGTATAATGTGTCTGAGTGGGGTATTAATGCTTCACTGCGGCATGGTATCTCAGTGGGACACAGCCGCACACACATACACACGCATGCACGTCGCCATATGAGCAAAATATTCTCAAGCACGACGTTAAACCCACTCTCACCTCACCTCATCATGCTCAGGGCCCTTGCCCCTCTACATGCAGCACAGACAGAGAATGGGACTTCTCCCAGGAAACGCTGCCTAGTCGAACCCACCAAGAACTTTCCGGAGAACATTGTTATCAGTGAACATAAAGTTTTTTCTGGATTACGTCTTCTTTTCATTCTTTGTTACGGTGTTTTGGGGGCCTGTTCCGGCCCCATCATCAGGTAAAATTAATGAACGGAGAACTAAAATGCCAATCAAGCATCTAATTGTTATTATTGTTTTTAATGTCATTATTGTGGTGATATTCAACGATAACATCTGCATTTCATTCATAATGGGACCTTGAGATTCAAACCACATGTATAATAACTCATGTTTTCAAGTGGAAAGCTCTCATGCCTATATGTTACAAGTTTTTATCAGTGTGATGTAAATTTCCAAGCGAGACTACACAGACCTGTCCTCCTGTTGCATATTTTGTTTATTAACCGTAGATTTTCATTCATAACTCATGTTAAATGAGCTATTCATTCACCAGCATCAGGCTTGATTTGATTAGAGACATGCTTGAGTTGATTCCAGTATTTCAGATATGGCAAATTCGAAGTGTGCCTACCATAGTTGACGTATTAAAGGCTTGTGAACATGGGTACTGAAAGCAAAGCATGTTTGTTGAGGAGCCTGTGTGGGCCAAGTTAGGCCCTCAGCAAACCCAAGGGTCAGCAGGAACTATGTGGATCAGGTTGTATGGATGGGTCGATTTCGTCATCGTACCTGTGGACATGGGTGATTATAATATCAATCAATGGCTTGTCTGGTCCAGACTCGATTATTTTATGCCACCTTTATATAACAAGAATAATGCACACAAAGAACACGATATATTCCACATTTCCCATAAGTAGTGGCTGCAGCCTAGTGGTTAAAGTGTTCACTTGTCACGCTGAAGACCTGGGTTCAATTCCCCACATGGGTACAATGTGTGAAGCCCATTTCTAGTGTGCCCTTCCGTGACAGGGTGCTTTTTACATCGACTACAGTAAGTCGACTCCAGCATCTGAGAGTAAGTGTGTTGTTGTGTGAGTGAATATTTTAACAGGGTGCTTTTTACATCGACTACAGTAAGTCGACTCCAGCATCTGAGAGTAAGTGTGTTGTTGTGTGAGTGAATATTTTAACAGGGTGCTTTTATCAGCGATTACAGTAAGTCGACTCCAGCGTCTGAGAGTAAGTGTTGGTGTTGTCTGAGCGAATATTTTAACAGGGTGCTTTTTACAGCGATTACAGTAAGTCGACTCCAGCGTCTGAGAGTAAGTGTTGGTGTTGTCTGAGCGAATATTTTAACAGGGTGCTTTTTACAGCGACTACAATAAGTTGACTCCAGCGTCTGAGAGTAAGTGTGTTGCTGTCTGAGTGAATATTTGAAAAGGGTACTTTTTACATCAACTACAGTAAGTCGACTCCAGCGTCTGAGAGTAAGTGTGTTGCTGTCTGAGTGAATATTTGAAAAGGGTGCTTTTTACATCAACTACAGTAAGTCGACTCCAGTGTCTGAGAGTAAGTGTTGTTGTCTAAGCATGTTTACTGTGTATATCTTGTAGAGACTCAACTTGATTTAATACCTCCTCAGAGTGAGATATTATTGCATCAACTATGGCAGTGTTTTGTCGGTAGAGAAAGTCTGCAGGTAGATCAACATGGAACTGTTTTTTCTAGACGGTCTTGTAATACACCTGGGTGATGTAGTGCTGCTTGTATCTTCCGTATCAATGAATCTGTGTGGAGATACGCGTCTGTGACGTAAACAAGCTGCTTTGCAACCAGATAAAATTCTTAGCCAAATTCGATAACAAGTTTCATTCAACTTTTAGAGCAAGGTGTCTTTGACTTTGCCGCTGTTTTAATGTTTTAATTTTGTAGTTCAAATGTAAGATGCATTTTGCCAATGTGAAGGTTGCATGAAGTTCATGCAGGGTGAATACACGCTCTACTTACATACCGAACATGCCATAATATCCCACACTTGTGTTCACTGTGGGACGGTGGGGTAGCCTTGTGGTTAAAGCGTTTGTACGTCATGCCACCGAAGGCCTGGTTCAGAAGGCCTGGGTTCGATACCCCACATGGGTACAATGTGTCAAGCCCATTTCTGGTGTCCCCTGCTGTGATATTGCTGGAATATTGCTAAAAGTGTCGTAAAACTAAACTCACTATTTATTGGTCAAAGGGGCCTTTTCAGGCCCAAGGTTGCCTTAAAACCTTACCTACCTTCTTGCCTACCTTCTTCAGCTTTTAGGAACCCAGTGTTTTAAAGTACATGCTTTCACCTTCATCATTTGAGATGAGATAGCACAACTTGATTTGGGTAGAAAGCAGGTAATCCTTTTACATTTTCACTAATATTGAATGGAAGACCAGTGGCTGTGTGTAACCCTAAGAATGTTACATGAAATAGAAAGCAAAACATTTTGGAAGCAGGTGATGGTTCAGGAAAACCTGACATCAGGGAAAAAGAGACAGAATCTATATTTGGGAAAAAAAATATGTTTAAACTTGACTGTATCAGAAGCCAGGTGATGTGTGAGGAGATTTGGTGGTGCTGTCTTGTGGGACAAATTTGGCCACTAGACCTTCACACTAAGTACAACTCCAGTAAGCCGAGCAAACGTTGAAACAGACAGATGTAGTTCCATGTCGTGTGTTCGGCAACAAGACTAGGAGTGTGTAGAAAGCTATGCATGAAGTGCATGGTTCAGTGTATACACAACGCCATCTGGGAAGGAAGGGAAACACAGGAAACTTGCTACTTGAAACTCGTTGGGCCACAGTCAGGGAAAGGAAACTTCACGTCTGCTTGCAGGGAGATTGGTTTATTGTGGATCAAGTGAAAGATACCTATTCATCTTTTCACTGAAAAAGTTGGGTTTTGTAGAGAATTATGCCGGGGTATTTTGGTGTGATATTTGGATTTTGCTGTTTAGATTTACAAATATTTATATACATGGAAATGATTTAATGGAAATTGAACAATTTTGTGTGTGTATTTTTTATCAAATTCTCCAAAGATTTTTGTTCACAGGTAATGAAATTCTGTTTTCTTTGTCCATTGTGAGCTGTTGTCAACAAATTGTGAAATTTTCTTTCCAATTAAGGTAAACATAAAAAACTAATTAAATATTTTAAAATGGAAAAAAGAATTATCTTAATTTCAAAAATTAAGAAAGCACATCAGTACTGATTTTGCAAGTCAACATGACCTTCAAATTGCTATGGTTACTGATTTTTTTCCAAGGCAATTTAGAAGATGGATTTGTGAAGTTTGTGCAATGAGTGATGAACTGGAGACTGATTTTGTCGTCTGGCTCATGTCATAGTGGTCCTTCTTTGTGTGGGGCTCTGCTATTGTCTTTGTTCATGCAAGGATAGTCTCGGCGCTTGTAATAAAAACGAAACAAGATTATCCCAATGGATTAGTGTCCACATTTCACACATACCTTAGCATGCTTTGTGTGCTTGAATTTGGCTCCAAATAAAATCTTTGATCTTTTACAATTATTTGTGAAACAGCTTCACCTCTGATTGTAAGACTTACAGATTATTTGTAGTTATTTCAACAAAACAAATTATGATTAAGAATAATGACAATTATTATGGATTTACAACTTCTTTTTTTCTGTGGAGGCGACTTTTCGACATAGGTTCTAATGTCGTTGTCAAGCAAGTGATGGAAATATGTCGAAATGTCGCCTCCACAGAATAAAAGAAGTTGTATATCCATAATAATTGTCATTATTTTTCATCAACTCAACTTCTAAAATGCCCATCAAAGAAATTATGATTAGTTAATGTTTTGAATCTTGACAGTTTTTTTGTCCTAGTTGTGATGAAAAATAACTTGATTGACATTTTACAAGAGGCTTCAGATACCTAAGCTGTCATGCATGAGTGATGTATTGTGTTGACTCAAGTCAAGTTTTCGTGATGAGTGAAATGTCAGTGTGTCAACCCATATTGTGAATGAAGACAGCGTAAGATTTACATACAAAGAGACAACTGCCCGCTCAACCGCTAACCTGTATATACACACTAGGTGACGAGACACTGCTTCAGTTTTGTTTCCAGCACGCGCCTCTCCAACCACCGGCTAGTCAATAAGACAGCCCAGCCTCACACGGGTAACCGGGCAGAATTGACGAGGGTTCCATTACCCAATCTGATGTATGATCACTCTCATCTCGGCTCTATTGTGTACATCAGTGTCCGCGCACCGCTCAGGGAAGGAATCTGAATTATAATTTGAAATTCAACGGATGGGGAAATTTGGATTTTAATACATGGCAGCTGCTTGTTCTAAGATGAGGCTGTGACAGAGACAAATTATTTCTGCTCGGTTAAACAGACCTGGAATTCCCTTTCACTGTTTTCACCTAGCTCCTTATCAAGGAAAACAGGACTAAGGCTTCATTAAATGCGTGAATGGATGGGCTTTGGGAAGCGAGGTAGTCTTGACCCGGTTGAGGAGAGAGTGCACATCTTAGCCTAGCCTATCTGCAGTAACATTGCCGTCTGCTTCCTTCCGTCTGCTAGTCAAGCTATCAAGCGGTTAGCTGCTACAGCATAGCCACCTCTGTCCTGTGGTCCTCAGAGTTCAAGCAGTGACATCATTGCTCAGTGACAGAATATCATATCTATAGATGGTGCCGTGTCTTTGTTGCGTGGATTAACAACATGGCCTGGTCGTAAAAACAAGGGCGGTGTTTGTCATTTTGACATGTTCTAGCTGAGGTATATGAAAGAGTATTCAGTGTGTGTCGTCTGCCCGGAATCAGTATGGAGAATTCTAAGAGGATACGTAAACTCCAAGCTCAACCTGGAGAAATGACCTTTGGGAAGCTGATGACAAGCCCAATTGTAAGTCTGATGTTTCTTCAATGTGTTCTTTTATCTATCTTTTTCAGTTTCATTCAGTGATGCTGTCCTTGCACCTTTCTTCTTAATCACTGCCATGAGTCATTGTCAGAAAAAACAACCCATAACCTTGTATGACATTTTGATTTGGAAAATTGGTTTAATATTTAATGTTGGTTTTGAAAGTTTCATTTGTTTTTCTTCTCAGTGGTATACTACATGAATCATCGTTTTAGCAATTGATGAGATGGGATGTGTTTTTTAAGGATTACATGTTATCTGTCTATCGGTCCATCAACTCTTTTACAAGTCATCCTGTATGGGTCGTGGCCCTGTTCTAAACTTACTTGAGTCAACAGAGGAGTAGATAAACTAATATGCTAACACATGTGCCGTATATTTGATCTGAAGGAGGGGAAATACAAAGTTAGCTGTTTTTGACAAGATAAAGTCCGAATTATACCGTTTTCCTGTTGAATAGATCTTAAATGAATTACGTGTATGGATTCCGTTCAAGACATGCCAGGTTCTCTGTAAACACTGGATTCCTGAACCATGTGTTTGCTGTTGTGATCTGGTTATCAGACGCTTAGGCTTGGCTTAACAGTATGTATGTACTGAAGAAACTTGAAGAACCTTTTGATCCATGCTCTTGAAATATGTTTCGTCACTTACTTTTGCTGCATTTTAGATTTCGAAAGCTTTCACTGAAGATATATTATATACTTGAACATGTTATTATTTTTATTATTTTTATTGAGCATTTTCGCTAATATATTATTACCAACCAATTTCTGAATTTAATTATGAAGTTTGTTTTTCTGCTTTACTGTAGACATTTGTTGTTACCTAGGAACAGAATAATAGTCTTTCATGGAAACGTTTGTTCAGTTGGGTTAAGTCTGGTTCATTCATGGTGTTTTGTTTCCAAGATGAGCTTCGATGCTTGTGTGCAGCACGCTACTGTTGCCTTCTCCAGCTGATCCGGTAAAATATATGTGCAGAAACAATTACCATGGGTACTCGTAGGTGACTTCCAAGCCAACCAGCTAGTTATTTCCAGATCACTTAGTTCAAGGTTTAGTGTTATGTTTATTTAAAGGATCATGTGACTGTCTTATTCATTGAAACATTAAGAAACCTCATTTGGGGCAGGTGAAAAGCAGTGCCAGGCCCCAACCAGTGCTATGTATACACATAAGTTTTATGTATCACCAGTTTACTTAACATGCTTAATAATCCTTATTCAGGGCAGGTGAAGAACAGATCATAGCCCTGTCATGAGCTAATGTATATGTCCGCTTCAGTTATATCCTATTTTAAATAAAAACAGGTGGTGTTTAATGATTATGTAATATCAAAGATACGTGTTTGAGCCATCTTTAGCATTTCTTGTCTGAGGGGTAGAATTTATTATATTCGTAGATCTAGTATGATACTTGACCTGGTTTGGTTACCAGCGGATGTGTTAAGTCAGACTCATAGTTTGTTCAATTGTTCTGCAGGCAGAAACATTAACCATTGCAGTTGTACATGGTTCGCTGGACAAAGTCATATAACCAGTTTAACACTGGTATAGAGATAGTGATGTTCCCGGGCATTCAAGCACTAAGTCATTTCAACTGTTTGACATCAGGATAATATATTGTATTCATACTGAAAAGTATTTGTTAAATTTAGGAGACCTGGGGTCCTTGAGATATACTACTGTGTTAGTTACCCCATAAATCTTTACCTTTTAAAATTAGGCCCACGACATTACCCTTTGCTTTTCAGGATGACTTGATACTGATAAAGATCTACGTCTGTTGACAGAACAGAAAGTGTAAAGATCGCATCTTAATAAAGATTGAATCATTTATGAACATACATCATAAACGAAATATGTACTGATCTTGTTTGGTCCAAAAGAAATAGTTGAATGGCCCTGAATATGATAAGTAGATGCTTAAAAGGTGGTTTGTGGATGCTTATGAAAAAGTTCTAAAATGAAACTGCTTTGTGAAGTAGTTATGTTTGTTTGGTCAAGATCTTGTCCTTGTAATTTGCGAGGTGAAGGTCAGTGAAATAATATTCATTGACAGGTTGCATTACCTGCGTCTGTCTGTCTGTCTGTCTGTCTTAGATGGGGGGAGTAGGTGGAGGTGTTTGTCTGGGTGTGAACGGGTTTGGGGGAGGTGTTTCTGTGGCAGCTACCAGGAGATATCACTAGATTGATATTACATCACTATGTTTACCAGATTATTGTGACATCATCAGTTGTCATGACAACAAATTCCTCTACCACTGAAGCTGGTATGATTCTTGGGATTATGAATGGAATCTTACCCTCATGTCTAATGATATGAAATATATGAATGCTTATTGATTGATATCAGTTTTAAAATATTAGGCAACAATTGCAGTTTAACTTAATTTCAACTTTTCTTCTTTCTTTTTTATGTCAAATAAAACTCTGGTAAGAGTCCTTATGTATTCATCTTTTCAAATGTCCCATGAATTTGGAAGAAATATATGAATGCTTATCCTATTATGTATTAATATCAGTTGTAAAATGTAGGCAACAATGGAAGTTTACCTTAAATCATCTTTTTTTATAGATTTTATGTCAAATAAAACTCTGGTAAGAGGCTTTATTTATTTATCTTTTCAAATGTTCCCTGAATTTGCAAGATCCTTGTAACTTAATGTAAAGGAATATTACACATATTGAATTAATTTCTGTGCGGAATGCAAAGCTGTGTAAATTATGTTGCGACATGTGCGTTTGATTGGCATCAATATGAAGGGAAGGAGCACCGGGAACAAATGGCTAGAGCATGTTAAAGGTCAGAGCTGACAGTATCGTTTTTACGAATTTTCCTAGAAACAAACGGTTACAAATATCCCATAACAAAGATCCATTATGAACCTGTAAGAGAAAACAGATTTATAGAAAACGACCTTCCAAGCCCCTACTGTGAACGTGTAAAGGGCAGGAACATTATTGGTGTGATCTGTTACTGGTCTTGAGACCCCCCATGACAAAGGAACATTGTACATACACTTGGAGCCATGTGTTGAAGAGATGGGTGCTGTGACAGACCACTGATGGTGCTGGTTCAGTTCAGGAGTGGTCAGGTTGGCTGGATTGTGTTTCCTTAGTTTAGACAACGATGGGATGGGCATACACAAAGCCTTGTGTAGTTCACACTATTCATCATCTCTTGGGGGGCGGTTTGAGTAGCCTAGTGGTTAAAGCGTTCGCTCATCGCGCCGAAGACCCAGGTTCGATTCCCCACATGGGCACAATGTGTGAAGCTCATTTCCGGTGTCCCCCATCGTGATATTGCTGGAATATTGCTGAAAGTGGAGTAAAACCATACTCACTCACTCACTCATCAACTCTTGGACCATATTGGATTGCAGATAGGGCGGTCGGGTAGCCTAGTGGTTAAAGCATTCGCTGGTCACGCTGAAGACCTGGTTTCTATTCCCCACATGGGTACAATGCGTGAAGCCCATTTCTGGGTCCCCCCACCGTGATATTGCTGGAATATTGGTAAAAGCGGCATAAAACTAAACTCTCACTCACTCACTAACGCACTCCAGCTCTTGCATATATGTGATTTCTAGCTCTCTTCAACTAATCCTGGTCCCTGTTCTCACAAAGTTGTAGTACCACTACAATGTCATAAATGGAAAAGAGTGGAAGCACTATGATCACCCTTGTGGAATGATGACTTAGTCCTAGTCTGTCGTACAGACTCTGAAGCAAATATACCCAGTGCTGCCCAAGCAAGTCTAGAATATATGGCAAGTCTAGATTACCAAAGTCTCTGAAAATGAAGAAAGTCTCTGGGCTCCATTTTATTGTATTTTATTTTAATTTAATTGCTATTTGTTTCTGTAAAATATACTCATGGAAATAAATAAGGGAACACATGAAAGTTGGCTCGTCACGCCGAAGTCCTGGGTTCGATTCCCCACATGGGTACAATGTGTGAAGCCCATTTCTGGTGTCCCCCGCCATGATATTGCTGGAATATTGCTAAAAGCGGTGTAAAACCCAACTCACTCACTCACTCACTTCTTGGCTTGACTTATCTGCAGTGCTGCTTTATAAGGGTCAATCTGTCTGTCGTTCTGCAAGATGGTGTGAATATTTCTTTTGCTATTAGTCACTGGAAACATATCATAATTCGTTTGGAATATTGCTGACAACAACAACTCAGCAAGATGCATTCACTCACCAGTCTCCAACATCCATTCCTGATTCAACTAATTAACCCAGAAAGACAAAGTGTGATCATATTGGGTAATAAAGATATAAGACATTTTGAGATAGATTATCTCTAGATGATTTTCAAGGGCAGTGAGGTACTCACCAGTCTCCAACAGTCCATTCCTAATGGATAAAAGCGCTATTCGTAATCACGCCGAAGACTAATTACACCCAATGTGAAAGACCCATACGTGATGTTGCTGGAAATTGCTGTGATTCTAAAACCAAACTCATCATATTGGGTAATAAAGATATAAGACATTTTGAGATAGATTATCTCTATGGTTAAAGATAAAATCTACACAGATCTTCATTCACACTAAAGTTTTCCATTGTAATTGACAAAACAGTACCCTTTACATGAAATAAATTTTATAAAGAAGAAAATACAATCCCACAAATTCAAATCTTAATTTCGAGATTTCTGTTATCATAACTATAACGTTAATTTTTAAGGGCTTTGGTATGTAGAAAATAGGCTCTGCATGTACAATCTCACTCTCTGTCAAACACTGAAGCTCCCAATATATCGCAATACGTGTCCGAATACCGGTACCAGAGTCACAATATATTGCAAAACAATTTATTTGCCAATACACAGCCCTATGGCTTATAAGTACATATTGAGAGACTTAAACTTACATGTTTTGTTGATGTCACGATTTCTGATTATAATCACTCTATGAAATGAAAATGTCAAGAGAAGTGAAATCAGATAATCCAGTCTGCTGCAGCAGTG